ATAGTACTTTTTTTTATATATTTAATCTTTCCGTCTGTTTAATCTATCTATCTGTTGATGTGATTGTATAATTAGATTGGATAATCAGAATATAATTAGTGCGATTATATATGATTTATAATATTCGAAAAGTGCAATCCCTCAATATTTCGGAAAATGTTCAAACATTTTCGAAAGAAATATTCTATATAAAAGTTAAGATTTTAAATTGGCATATTAAATAGCAATATTTAATGGGATATCTTACATTTTAAGATAATTCTTCAATTAGGTGAATCTTGTCAAAATGAAACTTATTCTTTCTCAAGATTTTATGTACATACATTCGATATCATGATTTTGCGCACATTTTGTAGATAATTATATGTGGATACCCAAATTTTTATATAAAAATGAATTTTTACGTAAAATAATACATTTTCTTTTCTGCCAAAATAATAATCACTTTCTGATACTCTTCGGATACACTATATATGAAAATACGCATTAATATATAATATATTCAAGATTTTTATTCTAAAAATTATTAAATTAAAAATTTTTACTTGATAAAGTAAAAAATTAACTACATACATATATATGAAATGTCACGGAATTTAACTGACAAACTGCAGGAACATATCTTTTAAATGGAAATAAGAAAAAAATGTTACATGACGTATAGTCAGAAATTACGAAATGATAAATAAATATTGAAGTGGAACATTAAATAAGCAAAAAGAGATTTTTCAATAAACAGAACATTAATAAAACGATTTATTAACACATTTTAAAATGCTGTTCTGCGAAAATTTTTTATGTCAGTAATTGAATTATTAATTCGATGTATTTTCTTTTCTCAGAAAATTTGTACTGTAATAAGTGCCATGTTACATCGGTGTCGTGCTTATATTGTCGCAAAGACAACATTTTGAAATGTGTTATTAAATCGTTCCATTACTAATCTGCGCAATTGCGGAAAATTCTTTGTTGCCTATTTCATATACCATTTCAATTTATTTATTTAAAATTCTCTAATGAAGCATTTCTAACCAAATTTCATAATGTAATCTTTTTTTCTTATTTTCACTTGTAATGATGCTTGAATATGCTTCAATAATTTATTGGGCTAAACTCCGGGACACCCTGTATATTATATTTTGCACGTCACAAAAAATGTTAATTATATCTTGTTTTATATTATATCGTAAATTATATCGTAAAAGTTTCCATTACATATTTTTCTGACAAGTTTCCATGCATAAATCCATGTGTGCGACTTCCTATGCGAATATCATCTAATAAAAAGGAATATTTATAGGAATTGAAAGAACGATCTTACGCGATGTGAGCGGACACTTCGAACCAAGGAAACTCACGGTGATAGTTGGCCCTTCAGGTGCGGGAAAAACCACTCTGTTGGAAATTATATCGGACAAACGATTGTTTAATATTAAAGGTCTCATTACCGTAAATGGCATTGAACGGAACAGAGGGACGTTCCGCAAACAAGTATGCTACGTGCCACAACAATTCGATTTATTGCCATTCCTCACAACGAGAGAAACTCTTTATATAGCGGCTCGATTAAAATTCGACGCTAATCAGAGTAAACAAGCGATTTATTTAATTGTAAGTAGAATGTATATGCGAAAGAAACATTTTAAACATTTGTTATATTTCTCAACGTGATTATATTTCTTAACATAATGATAAATCGTAGGATAACATTTATCAGGTTGATAAATCGTAAAAAATCGTAAAAAATCGTAAAAAATCGTCGATAAAACGTTGATAAATCGTAGGATAACATTTATCAGGTTCAATCACACCAATCAACATGAAATTATCACTAAAAATTATGTATAATTTTTTTATTATTAATAATTTTTATGCTATGTGGCGAACAAAGTAATGGACTGACGTACCGCGTTGCATATTTTTTATCAGGTAAACGAGATCGTGGAGAATCTCAACTTGTCGAGTTGCTTGGAAACATTGGCGAGCAAATTGAGTGGCGGCGAACGGAAGAGACTCTCCATCGGCGTGGAAATGATCGCCAAACCACATATTCTTTTATTAGACGAGCCGACAAGTGGTCTTGATAGTGCGGCATCTAATCAGGTACAGTATAAATGCGGCTCAAGACCAATTGACTCTACGAAAATATTATTACAAAATAATATTATTTGACACTCGACACTCGATCAATATTTTTATTCCTTATATTCTGCTAATTTTACGAAAAAGTGTAAAATATTCCACGGCAATTGTTGACTTGTTACTGTAGCTGTAATCTCATTAGGATATTCCTAAAAATGCTGATATTAAATTAAAACATTTGCATCGATAGCTGATTAATATGCTGCACGATATGGCGAAAGCAAATTGCACGGTGATTTGCACGATACATCAGCCTAGTAGTCAGATGGTCTCACTCATTGATAACATTATGGTACTTGATCGAGGCAGATGTATGTATTGCGGTCCAAAGAACGAGATCATAAACACGTACAATATCGCCGGATATATGTGCCCTAGTTTCTACAATATAGTTGAATTCGGTAATATTGATTTTACCAATTTGATAAGTAAATTATAATTTAATGAAGATTATGAAATAAAAAGAAGCATTAATATAAATGTATTTATATCTTTCCAGAAAATGAAAAATATTCGTTCTTAATTTTGTTGTCTAACTTGATATAGCATCATCTTCTCTCTCTCTCTCTCTCTCTCTCTCTCTCTCTCTCTCTCTCTTTATTACGTTTATATAATAATTTTAGTATATAATATTTAAGTTAAGATTAAAGTTAGGATATTTATAAAATTATATTATTATAATAAAAAAAAAATCTACATGCAGTATCAATTATTTTCGCCTGATTGTAGTGCTCGAGGTGATAACTGGACACAGAGGTGGAGATTTGGAGAATTTACACAAAATCTGTTGTAGCGAATATGAGAAATTTAAATTAGGATGTAAACATCATGAAAGTGGTAAATATATACTGTACACTTTATTAAATGTCTTATTTTTATTTCAATTGTTTTGTACAATTCATTAATAATTAGTTTAATATATACTATTGGCAGCAACAATTTTTTATCTTGCTTCGCGATAATTGAATAATGAACACGTGAATATTTTATTTATCAAACATTTACAATAATTAATATAAAATTTAAACACACATCAAAAAAACTCAGAAATGTCGGATTAAGCATCGAGTTTTTCTTTTATAAATATGAAATTGTCATTCAAAAATAATAAAAATATAAGCAAGATGATATCTAAAAATATCATAAAAATGTGAAACATTAATACATATAAAGATATGAGATATTAATCATTATTACAATATAAATAATGAATTTTAAATATAAATAATGAATTTTTTTATAGGACCGAATTCATTGACTATTTCCAAACAGAAATCAGAAATAGACGATAAAATTAATGTAAATAGCATAATACAAAAAAAATCGACGTGGCAACAACAAAAGATTTTATTTTTAAGAGCGCTAATCTGCATCAAGCGAGATAATGTGAGTAGAAATTTTTAAGAACTATTAATATATTTGAATAATCTGTTTAGGAAAGGAAAACGCTATCTCATTTTGTTTTCTTCAGACTTTGACAAAACTGAGGTTAGCAGCGCATGTCATAATTGGACTGTTATTAGGGGTAGTTTTCTATAACTTTGGTTATGACGCGGGAAAAGTGTACAGCAATATCTCTTGCTTATTCTTTATTCTGTTATTTTTATTTTTTGCAAATTCCATGCCAGCAGTGCAGATGTGTAAGTGACAGAT